AACATTCACATGAACTCTTTATTGTTCTTCATGCAAGCAAGAGCAGCCCGTAACAGATATTCACCTGTTTAACTCACCCTTAAAGGATCTCCATTATGCACCACCACATGCGCTTGATATTGCAGAAAGTAGTCATTCTAGCCCATCTTATGGCATTACAATTTTATGTACAAAAAACAAACCAGTTAATACACTGATAGTCTTTCAAGGTAAACATCATCTATGTAAAATGATTCAAATGATTTTAGCATGTGGTAAGGTCCCTCGTTGGAGGAGCACACTTAAGCAAACTTACCAACACACTGTAATGTAGGCATCTCAAAGTCCCACAAAAATACAATGCTACATTTACGTAATTTTCAATGTGACTAATGTCAGGAAGCGTCATAATTTAGTGTATCGTTCGAATGCATCTTCGCTTACTGCGATGTATACGTAAGCGAACTGGAGTAGTAGTGTTTGTTTATTTTCAAAGGAGCCGTGAAGGCATTTAGATGCACCTATATGTCGATACGTATTCATTTCATATGAGTGTGCTTCCGGATTTTAGCGTTCATGTACTGTTTGATGCAGGCTCAGACAAGAGCAGATTGATAAAATTATCAAAATTGTTGTTCTTGGGGGGGGATTTGCACAAACAAACCTTTCGAAAAGCGAGTAATGAATCCTCCAAAGGTGTTATCTCCAGTAAGCGGAATCTCTGTCAGAGTTAAAACTGTATGGCAGTTCACATCAGTATTTAATCACCTGTTACTCAACTAAATTTATCCCGCCTACACATTTTGTAACAAAAACCGTAGCGATGTTGTACAATGCGCACTAAGATGGGGCGGATTGAAAGTTATGAAAATACCTAGATAACAGAGGAATGCAAAAAGTCCTGTGCGAAAAATCCAAATAGGATGCTTGGAGTCACGTAAATCCTTTAAAAGTTTTGGCCGCTAACAACTGATAAAAAATGCATCTTTTAAAAGTCTACATATCTCGTGAATAGAAAAAAACAAACTCTTACACAGAAAAATAATTCGGTACTTGAAGTATCAAATTGGCGTTTGGGCTGCAAACTCTGTACACTTGGGATTGAATCCTCAAACACTACGAGTCGACTTATGTATGACAGATGTGCCCATAAAACGTATATCATTTCGGACGTTACTCAATGCATTCAAACTAACATTCGGCGTATTTTAGTGATCTGTTGTTTGCTCCAAACAGTCCTTAATAATTTACTTGTTCAAAGTAGTTAGTTCTAAGACTGCTTTACTTTTTATCTACAAAGTCTAAAGATTTCGCTAATTTCACCTGTCCTAAAAGCGGCCATATTAATACCTTCTGAAACAACCTATCGTTTACCTAAAATACAAAAGCCCACACATGCTGCAATAGACTGTTTACAGTTTACCGGTCAATGGTTGCTTGTAGCAGGTATGCTTCCTGAGAGAAGTTTTCAAACGTACACTTATTGTCTCTACAACATGTCCGTAAGTGGATCTCAAAAAAACCCATTTCGTTAACTTTGACAGCACTATACCAGTGCCCTTTTGGTTTGTTAATTGGTCATTTGATCCTCGGTAAATCGACAAATGCGGTTTTATACTTTAATAACAACTAATAAAAACAACCTCTTGGTTCCCATCAATTTTTATTTACTTTAAAGTCAAGATTTCAGCATCCGAAGGTGATTGGCTAGTGTTCCCCAAAATACGTGTTTAAAACGTACTTGCTTAGTTAGCAAAGTCAACTTGCCCTATCTGCCACTAACATTTCGTCAAACAACTGCAGTTGATCTGATTTCAAGAAATAGAGAAGTTTATTCTAAACGAACAAATTTCGGACGCTACTTAGCTAATTATAACATTGTACTTTTTTACGTCTCTAGAAGTAAAGTTAACACCGCTCACATGATTATCTAAAGAAAGATTAAACATAATTGGTAAGATTTTCCGGCCCCAATTCTCAACTTAAGACTCAGGAACGGTGTAAGACAAAGAAGTCTATCATTGTGCACATGTCACAGTCCGGTAAAGCTAATTATGGTAATCGTTGTATTTATTTCTAACCGACTTTCTTTTTATCCATTTTAGATTGGCATTGAAAAGTGTAGTAATTGGCTAGTAGCATAAACGATCTGAACATTTGTGCCTAGTTTTATATCCACTGGACATTTTTGTTTTGTTTTTCTTCAGGCAAAAGAAAGCTTTCAATGTTGGTTTTGCAGATTACCATCATTGAAGAAATCCGGAAGTGACATCAAACGTCCTGATTCTTAAGAAAGTTAATATCTAGAAGCCACGTCAACTTACTAAATACGCTGAGTCATATGACTGTATCTAAAGCCGCTCAAGCCGCGCCGTTACGGCTTTTGCTTCAGCACTCGGCCCTTAGTAGACCATGTAAAGGTGGTAAGGCTGTGTATTACCCCGAATGCTATTGAAACCTTGTCTTTCTTTCTATCACTGTGACTATTTTTATGTGATTACTTTCTTTGTCATATCTAGCGGCGTTCAGATAATAACAAACTATGGAAGAGAAAACCTACTAGTGCATTCAACTACTGCTTATTAACCAAACTGAAAACTCCGAAAAAATTGCCGTCAGAAGTAAAGCATGTCGTCTAAAAAAGCCTGGTGATTTGAGGCCAAAAATCAGAGAGCTCTAAACATCAGTTAATAGGATATATGGACAAAAGGTAGCATCACATAGTACCAGAATACAACTTCCGTAAACTGTACCCTGAGCTACATAAATTGTTGCTTGATCAATAAGGAGTATTACTACCAAAACAGCATGGATTCTTGTACAGGAGGTGCAGCCTTAAAAAACGATTTCTTATTATGAATCGCAAAAGCAAAGTAATGGACGCCATAATTCAGATTAACATTATATACTCTTAATTCTCTGGGCCATACTAGCAACCTAAACAATCAAAATGCTTTGATCTTACTACTGAAATGAACAGAACGTATCTATGTTGGCAAAAATTCTCTGGGTGAGAATGTTTCCACATCCCATGACAACACAGTATTCAGCACTAGACACTATTACCTGCCTTCCTAGTGTATTAGTCTGTGTCCTCACCGCACAGCTTATTTGCTGATGATATCCGGCTCTTAGGAAGCTTTTTGTTTGCTCAGGTATACTTTGTACTACAAAAAGGCCATCAGTTGGCCTACTGGTGGACGATAAGCAAATACTTGCCTTACGAGGTTCAGAAACGACATTCCTCCCCTTGTCAACTGCTGAATCCATTAGCGATTTTCTTGACCACCACAGCTTGAGAGCTGCGGTCGCAAAAATGAGTAAGAAAATTTATGCAACGAAGCCCTTGAAACCCAACTCTGTGTTTCATGTATACAACCACCGCATACAGACACCTGATCCTCACACGTTGCACCCTCAAGTTGCATTAACGCTGCGGCCATAGTCAGAGCAGATGTCTGCATCAGAACTCGCGTCCTTTGGACTTATAGCCAGTAGTTTACCTTGAAAAGAAAACTTTGGGACGGTGACGCACGATAGCTAACAATCTTGGGAGAGGTCCACACGGAATTAACTTACAGCCAGCATTCAAAATCAACGTATATTGTCCTACCACCAAGAAACTCCACTTGACCGCTGGAGGAGCATTTGTTCCCAGCTTTTGTTCTTGCATAAGGTCCCACCCTTGATTTGAAATTATTTCGTGTTCACCCTGATGGGCCTAATGCAACCACTTGATCTACAACTGGTAATTTACGCCCCAAAGCAAGTTGGTACCTCACATGTTCTCTGAATATCATGATATACGGTGGCATTGATATCATCTTCAGTAGTTTGATCAGATACCGACTTAATATTACACAGCTAAGTGACCATGTTACTTAAGTTTTGACTAGTACGTGACCGACTGAAAATAGCAAGTCAATCAAACGGCAAACTTTGTTATTAGGATTTTGGTGCATAAAATCTCACTAAATAAGCCTAATAAGGCGTTTATCCATGTATCTTTGCGATGAACATGACTGATACCCTATTCATTGCTCTATTCATTATTGTCTTGTTTTACAATTGCATATGCTGTATATATTCGGCAATTCGAATGCATACGTGATGGTTGTTACGCTGCGCTGAATTCTGCTAGTTCGTCTGGTTATACCGATATAGGTACAAAACTTAATTCTCACAACCATATTATATCAAGCGCTCGCCTAAAAGTCATTCTAGACATTTGACAAAACTACTCACCTTTCTATTTAAATCAATCCACATTATTGAATCCGATTGATCCACGTGATACATACCGAAATACCATATTTCTCGGAGACCAATGGTCTCGCAGACCTGTTGGTGAAACAAAATTAAATATCGTCGTCAACTCACCTGATTGAACAATTGCATCCCCGTGGTTGCCTGCGTGATGGTGAGCTCAAGCTCAGTGTCGACAGTAAGAACTTTCACAAAGTACTACGTATCGTAGGTGATATTTGCTGACTTACAAATTTGGGCTTAGAGAACATCACAGAATTTATGCTCTACATCTTGAATTTTCAGGTAGCTTTTATTTACGTTAAGTTAATGAATTTGAACCGGTAAAACAAATATGAGCTCTGAAAGGATTCACGGATTGATACACAGGATCGAGGCTTTTGCCCAAGTTTCCCGGGTGGGTTTTGTTCTTGCTGGTCAGTGGCTGTCGCTCACCTGAAAGGTACAAGTGGAAAAAGGGTGTAGCACCGCTCTTTATGTTCTCAGCGCGGGGCAGTATGCTTGCCAGCGCGAGGATTCGCATAAATAAACGTCTAATAGTGCTTTAAACTGGGTTATAGAAGGAGCGTGAACAACCGTCGGAGGGAGGTCATTCTGCACACCTACTACCCGAAACGAGAAAAAATTTATCCAATGAATGTGTGTGCCCTGAGCTTGAAACTTTTCTTACTATGTGCCCGCCGGGTGTTTGCTGGGTCAACGGTGAAAAACCTGTTTGCCAAGCTTTGTTCAAACAGGGCGCAAGTAAGAATTAGGTCCCCTCGGAGGCGACGGTACTCCAGGGGAAAGAGATCAAGCATCGCGAGACGCGTTTCGTAGTCCACGGATTTGAGGCCGGCAACCATTCTCGTGGTGGCCCGCTGGACACGCTCAATGAGGGTGACATTTTCGTGCGTCCTGAGAAGACGACTTGGTTGACGCACTCCAGGAGCGGTCTGACGTAGGTCTCACAGAGTATTTGGAAGCCCATGCGAGCAATACGAGAGAAGATGCGTCGGATCATCCGTAAAAGGATAAGTTCACTTCCAATTTTTCAAGGACATGAGAAATTGCGTCCATATAAAGTTGCGCCATCTAACAGAAGGCTCCGGATTCGGGTTGCGCTATATATTTGGCCAGAAAATAGCCGGTACAGGGGTGACGAACCATCCCGGCACTAGCTAATTTCGGAACCGTAGCCACTGAAACAGAGCCTACTTGCTAGAATGTGTCTTATTAAAATACTGCAAAGATGAAGCTCTTTGAAATAGGACGATGCTGCAAGTGTGAGTGGGTTGGGGTGAGTGAGCGAGAAATGTTCTCACTGGACGGTGTCTGGGCACACCAATGTAAGATTTAGTATGATTCAGTGGCATAGAATAAAGAGCTTAGTGAGAATATGTTATGGCGGTATTTCAGCCCCCAATACTGATGCGTGTGCCTGAAATTCTGACCGCAACTCTGGTTGGTTGTGCGAAGAATGCAAAGTTGTCGGCTTGGTTGCTCAAGTCTGAAACAACCTACCACAACACACTAGTGTCAACACACGATCACTCCAAACGGTAAGGCACAATCCTAGGAATCTCAAACGCTCAAAATATGGAGTGCAAATGAACCCAAGCTTGATTGCTTACATTGCACCGAGGGTGTTCCTGTCACGTCTCAGCCGTGGATACTAAGGTTTATCTCCACGCATAAGGTTCACGCACGTACACTCACACTGAACTGAAGACAAGATAACATGATTAAGGTTTGCCAGCAGCATGATTGTTTCCTCATCCGCGTCCCTTTTGAGTATTATTCCTGAGGTCCTTTAGTTCGCGAATCCTTGAGCACCTTGGGTCCACAACAATAGGTCTATTTGCTGTCGCCACTTAGGAAAGTTACACAGCACTGTTCCACATAAAAGTAAAATTGTCTCGTGCTGTATGCTAAAGGCACCACCCGATTAATCCTGGAAATGTCGAAAGGCTATCACTGTGTTCACGGGTCCATGGAACTGGACTTCATCTAAACATGGTAGTATCCTACGTTTAACCAATCCACAGGGGTCGTATTTATGCACATGGAAACGTTTGTAGACAAGAAGGACTCTGAAGTTTGGCTCCACTGGACCTGGCGTCCGTCGAAGCCAGGTAAAACGGCATTTTTAGATTAAATCAGCATCCCGTCTTCTCGGTCGAAATGGCTGGAACACATCAGTGCGCAATAGCTAGTTTATTACAGCATTATTTATTTCTTATGGCAACATTACTAATGCAAAAAATTCCACGTCGGACAAACCGCGAGGAAATTACGTACACAAATGAAGGAAATCAACGCGGATATCAGGAGGCATGACCTCTGTCCTTAATGTTTATACACGAGGGCCAAGAAGGCAACAAATTCAATCTGGAAAGCGCAGAAATTTTGGCACATAGAGACACGAGACAGGGAGGAAAATTTCTGGACGCATGGTTCTCCATGGCATATTCGATAAACCGGTGCATCAATCTGGATCCAATTTACGCACCTGTACGTACAAAAGACCAACATCTCAACCGGAACACTCAAGGAGGATCGAATATTTGATTCACACACAAAGAAAGGGAGGAATTTTTGGAGTCGAACCAAAATAAGTCACAAGCCGTGACTCAAAAGGATAAAGGTCACTCCAACTCCAACCACCTTTCGAGGGCGGGAGATGCCAAGCTCAAAGATCACATGCACATCGGTGAATGGGGACGCGGGATAATAGAGCAACCAACCGGACAACTGATCGCGGTCAAAGGCCATCCCCGGCTAGCAGCACGTACACATACGCACACACGTAAGACTACGCAACGCTGATTGCACCTATTTCTTCCCTCGTTCACTTGTAACTGCTGATGAAATAATAAGAAATGGAAGTATTGCACGTGAGAGTGATTCCTGCTCTAACTTGATCTGTTAAGAACCTCCCTAAATAAGTGAATCTGGAGCAAAGCTGATCACTTCAATATGATGTTTTCGATGTGTGTATGAAAATAAAATCCCACAATAATAACTGACACCTTAATGGAAAAGAGGGACATCAATTCCCACATTCCATCAGTTTCAATAGATGATGGCCAACTAACAGAATAATGCAACCCGCTTGTTCCAAGCAAAAACGTTTTTTGCTGGATTTTTATCTTACAATCCATGATGATATCAACAGAAAACCGAAAAAATACCCGGAGGTGATACATGTCTGACAATCATAAATGGAAGCGAAGAAACTTGAGCGACTCGCCACAAACGCCGACATAACCAGTTACACGGAAGCAAGCAGAGCGAGCGACATCAGGCATCTTTCTGTGCATCGCATATATACGGCATGGCAACCAAGTGATGAGTTTAAATGGTCCTAGAAAGCAATTCAAAACTGCCACCGTACGTATAAACTTACCCACGCAATTGATAAAACGTATGATTGTGGGAGTCCCATCGTTATGTTAACGGTTGAAATCCTAGGAGGAAGCGGAACTCCGGGCATCGCTGAGACCGCTTTGATCCGATCGGTTAGCCTACGAGTCAGACAGTTTTCTGATAGCAAGCACAGAAGCTGGTGTCTTATGCCTTACCGAGATACCTATGAGAAAACTAAACTAAGCAAGATCACGATCGAAAGTAACGTGAAAAGCCAAGGAGGTTGTTTCGTTACTGTGCTAATGACTATGTAGTTCATTTGGTTACACTTTTGTCCATCAGCAGAGGGAAAGCGCAAAGCGCAACGGTGTCTATTGCGACTGAATCCGGTACCTCCGGGACATAATCAGTGATGAATGCAAAGCCATAAGAGGCAACCGCCGCGCACAGTGCGCACAAAGTCTAGGTTAGCAAGTTGCGGCATCCCTACTGGGGTTAGCACCGACCAGAACAATATTCTTGGTTCCGGTGCCGGATAAGTGTGATGTTGATTTCCAGCTTTGGTCCGGCTTGGCCGACCGGGTGGCCGGAATACTTCTACAGCTCTGGATAATTTGTTTTATCTTCTCATTCTCCACAATTTACAGTCTCATATCTATGCTGGGGGCACACTTTATATTTACCTCTTTCATGCCGTTGTCTTTGTTTTTACCCACCGCCTCTGAGATGAAACGGTCCAATCTTGTTTCAATTCGTTATGTTCCCTATAAGCTAGGTGAAAACCTGTCGACCGTACATCTCGTCCGCAAAGCTTAATCCGCTGAGATCAGGCCGTTTTATGCATGACCTCATCATTACCGGATAAAGTCCATTCATTTCAGAGCTTCAATTCCGCGCATTGTTGGGCGCCCATATATAAAGCCAGTCATGTCTTTGTACTGCCTGTGAGGATGTAACTATTCCTGAAGTTAAGCACCCATCCGTTTTACCACAGCTTTAAGAATGATCCACTCGATCTTGAGCCCAACGAAGAACATAATCCAGGAACATCGTTTGAGCGTGTTTGCAAGCCGTGTTTGTCCTCAGTAGACGGGTGGAACGGCCCTAATTGTATTGCATTTCATTTTGGCCGATGTATTTATTCTACTTCGATGTGAGCAGCCAAGCACAACTCAAGCCAGATCCAGTTTTAACTGTTTCAAAAACCCATGTTACTTTACCTGTGTTGAACCCATCGGCTAACCCAAATTCGGCGGCTGCAGGAATGGGCATCCCTCATCGGATCACCACAGCCTTGAAGCCGGCTGTACGCAACTGTCCAGAAGCAAACATATTTTGACGCAGCGATGACACGAAATCGCCATCACGAGTATGAAAGTAAGACTTCACCTATTCCTTTCATACTCTTGGTGGCTCACCCCAAGCCACGTTTATGCAACTATAAACGAATTGTTTCAACCGCCCTGGCAACATCTGGAAAAGTTCGTTCTTATCCGGTGAACCATTTTTTATGACAAAAACAACCCCGGCTTAAGTTGCAATGTGAAGTTTCTCTATTCATACATTCAAACATTTAGTAATTTTCCGGATTCAGCGGTTAGCGTTAACTTTTCCGCGTAAGAATATTTTATTTTGAGTAGCTGGAATACCGATACTATGGTCCATGGAGGAATGAATGCTGTACATGGTTTACCATTTAGAACGCACGAAACATCTTTTCCAATACCGGTACCAAACAATATTGATGCATTCTCTGAGATACTGTTATTGCCATAATACCCGGCATAGCTGGCTTTAGGGTACATTGATACCGAGGTAGTAGTCCGAATCAATAAAAGATACAGTAGTTTATTAAACAACCTGGTTTTCAGTATTCACTTTACTAGGTACTCCAAATCTTCAGCACATATAGGCGGCGGAGTGCCATCCATTTCGCTTAAGGTTCTCAACCGCTAAATCCACTACCTATCAGCTCGGTCTTCTCATGTGCCATTTCCTGGACCCGTAAACCATGCGAGATTGCACAAGATTTCCACGATGAGAAAATATTGGCCAATTTTAAGCAGAGATGTTGTCCGGTAAATGAAGGCAATCTAGGCCACATTTTTGCATCCGGTTAAAATGCTGGTGACTTTTTCCTGCAACCGGATTTAGTCTAAGCCAAAAGTCCAGGGAGCACTCATCCCAATTGCAGCTCATCGGCAATTCGCGTCTCCTTAAACTTCGAAGACACTCGAACATGCAGTCTTCCACCTTATTTTCGGATGCTTTTTAACTTGTTTAGGAGTGCAGCGTAACTCTCATATAGATGGGCTATAGCGATAACTGGCAGTTGGTCAGAGTCCAATTGATGAGGCCTCTGGTTCCCATTCATCATGGAAATTTTTTCGAGCCGCTTATCGTTTGTTGGTGGTGTGGTGAGGTTTCGTGGTCGGCGACAAAGATTTTACCCTGCAAATTGGGCCGGTGCGTGAGCGCTTTACAGCTGTTCTTCTCTCGTTGGGATTGCCAGAATGGTTTGTCTCAAGAAACTCAAGGGGTTCCGAAACCCTGACCCCCTGGTTGAAGGCTAGACCGTTCTTCCTCGGGCGGCTGATTTCAAGTATGATTAACCAGCGCTTACACCGCACAATACAACACTCATTACCCCGTAGACCATGGCACCAGTAGTCCAGGTATGCGAAATAGAATTTCTAGATACAAATATCATCAACTCCAGCGCTCCGGATTCCCGGGTGCTCGCTGGTGGCAATAACAATGAATTAATTCCTCAAATAAAAGTGATCATTCCGATTGATGCAGGGGCCATTAGCCGCACAATGCTCTTGGCTGCAAAAACTTAGCGAGTGAAATAAAATCTTTACGTTAAAACATTGCGTTTGTTGCGTTTTTGATCCATTTTAACCTCTGTTCATATCTTCGCAGCTCACCGCATTTCATTGTCTTCCGAAGTCATCATACGTCTGGCGGAAAAAGTCTGGAAACGTCGCAGCTTAACCCAAGCCAACGACGAAGGACTCATATCGGTTGGCATATTTTTCGACTTCTCAAAAGCAGTTGATAGGGTCCCACACATCCCGCTGCTCCACAAACTCGAGTCTTACGGGATTCAAGGGAAAGTCCTTCGTTGGATCAAGGCATCCCAATCAGACAGATCATTCCGAGTGAGAAGAGGTTCGACCTACACTTCTCCAGCGCCGGTCTACATTGAAGTTCCTCAAAGCTGCGTTTTAGAATCGTCCCAGTTTTGATCTACTTCATCGAGTTCCCAGATGCTCCCTCAATTCCATGTCCATTTTTGCAGGTAATTTGAGATCATAGAGTTCAAATGCCACTGCACTTTAAATGAATGCAGACGCTACAAGGTAATGGTCACTGGATTAACGTCTGAAGGACAAAAAGTACGTCCGCATGTCGTTTGTAGGAGACTCAACAATGTCTCTGTGCATGAGGAGAATGGACCAGAACACATTATGAGGATAAGTATCAAGAGGTATTTAGGTATCTGGTTCTTTTCCAACATGTCTTCATCCCTCTATGAAGAGTCAACTCAAAAGACATTCGTCGTTTTACGGATGATCCAGCATACTTTACTCTTACCTGCTTCTAGATACCCTATTGGGGTCTCCGTCAAACCGGTGCTTGAACGTGCCAACCAAGGTGTCTACTCAGGGCGCAAGGATGACGTAACCCACACTGTGCTTGTTTAATGTTCAAAAATGGTCGCTGGCCTCAAATCAGTTGATTATGAAACGATTCTCGGGTTTCGTGAAACCTTTTCTCTTGAGTAGCGTCAACTCCGAGAAGGCCTAGCACTTACTTATACCACGTTTGAACAAAATTTGGTCAACAGATTTTCACTGTCGAACCAACTCATACACTGCGGGGATATGATAAAAGTACGGCAGTGAAGCATCGATGTTGGACACTGATGTCATACTGTCGATGATGATGATGATATGGTAAAAAGTTTCTACGCCCAGATCGCACACGTAGTAGGCAGCAGTATTTCCCATTTCAGATAGTTGGTGCGCCGAATAACCGCTCTCCGACGGCTGTCTACGCAGAACCCAATCGAAAGAACTCTCAGATATTTTATGGGTCCACGCGCTCGTCACAACTTGATGTTTATTTGATTCATGTGACTTGAACAGTCTTTAATGCAAAGACAATGCCATCTGGAGGTGACACCCTGACGTGGTGGTCGGGCGTAAGTAATGTACTGAAATTCGTTCCGTGCCAGGATGATTAAAAGGGGTGCGGTCAGATTAAGCGTAACAAGACCGTAGACTGCGAGTCGTCGCATTACAAGGCGGTGTCGGGGGTTGTGAGATAGGACTGTGAAGACAGACGTTTTCCCTAGACGACCAGCACGTTTTTATTTGTGGAAGCATCTATACCAGTTTTACTCTTGGAATGAGAGGTTAGAAAATGTTTGACCTAACAACCACACAGCCGATAAGGGTCGGCCGTTACCGCCGGCGAGTTATCCACTTGGGACCAGTCCTGTTTCTGATCCCCGTCAACGACCTCCCAGACGTTCTTGCGAGTCCATGTCTACTTTCTGCGGACGACTTGAAATCCTGGAGTTCCAATGCCAGTGCCCTCCAAATGGATGTAGACGCTGCCAAGCAGTGGTCGCTCGACTGGCACCTTCCTCTGAATGATGAAAAGTGCGTCCATATGTCGTTTGGAGGGTAATCAGCGAAGGCCTTCGTTATGAATGATGAGAACGGACCAGAAAATATCATGAGGATAGATGCCAAAAATGATTTGGGCATCTGGGCCTCCTCAAACTTGTCCTTCTCGCCGTACCATTAGAAATCGGCCCAAAACACATTCGCCATTTTACGGATGATCCGACACAACTTCTCTCGTATTGCTCGCATGGGCTTCCAAATACTCTGTGGGACCTACGTCAGACCGCTCCTGGAGTGCGTCAACCAAGTCGTCTTCTCAGGACGCGCGAAAATGTC